GAGAGAGAGAGAGAGAGAGTCTACTGACTGATCATGTGAATAATATTTTAATATAGATTTAATAATGTATCATGCTAATTGATTTTTGATAATTTACCAGTTTCAGGGTGTGTCGCCTTGGCGTAATGAAGGTAAATACCACTTCCAGACACGGCGTTCTCGATCGGGTCAGCCATTGCTCCAAATTCCTTCTCCCCCATGTGGCAGCAGCCTCGACCCTGCGAAGCTCCTTCCCGGGCCGTCCGGCCGGCGGCCTTCCGTCCCCCTCGACGGCGTCCGGCGGAAGCGTGGCCGTGGCGCCTATCTCCGCCGTTAGGGGCGCGCGGGTCGGGAGGAGCCGTTGACGCTGACGACGGGGCACGCCCCCCCTTCCCTCCACTCCGCCTTCACGCGCTTCTCGGCCGCCTGGACGGGCTCTGGCAGGGCCCTCTAACACCCATATAACGTGCTGGGGACCAGTCGCGCGCTCTAGAGCACCATCTTCTTACACGAACTAAAATACGAACTGCTACGAACGTTATTTAAAACGTCTCGGGACGCAAACACACGCGCTTGATATTAGTCGCGCATCATTTCTTGAACGATGACCTTGCTTCCCCCTCTTGGCACAATATTATTGAATTATGAATAAATTATTATGAATGTTATTATGAATAAATGAATTTTAGAAGGTAAACACATAGTATTTAGCTTCTTTTGTAATTTATTTCAGAAATCGCTCTTATTCAAAGTGTATTCGTATTTCTTGACCAATTTTTATGTGCGAAAGTTGGCGAGCCTTACCAGCAGCTGTATCCGGCGACACTAGCGCATCCTATAGTAGCAACCTATAGCTTTGTCCCCAATTTTGATGGAGAGTTGCAGTCTTGAGCTCTGAGGCCTTGTCCGCCTTCCGCGACGTGATGGCCGCGCGTGGCGCGACATCTGGTGGAAACAGTCGAAAGTTCTCTGAAGCGACGGAAGAATAAAGTCGATCTATTTCAGGGATTCACGACCGAATGAAGTCTCGGAGAAAACAAAATTAACATCTCGGCGAGTGCCACGTCGACAATAGAAGATTTCTCTAATTGTGAAATAAGAAAGGATATTAATCACATTTTATATCACCTTGTGTTATCTTTTGGCTCTTTTTACTTTCACGCATACTAATTACGTTCTATTGAAAATGTATGCGTGTCTGATACCCAAAAAGTGTAAATTCTTGTTCCAATATATAGAAAATAACTTCCTCACGTGTACTTGAATTCCACATTTTGTGGTACCTCAGTATAACAAGAACGGTTTATTACCAAACGATTGTTCGTCCCTCCATCTGTCTGACTGTGCGGCTGTTCGTCCTTGCCTATAATCAATACTAGCGTCTAAATCATAGGTCATCAAAATTAATATTGCCTTATCTGATGCTACGTCCACTTGAACTTGAAACGGATTTCGGGGTACTTAACTTTCCCAAACGTTTCTCAAAATGGATCCAAATTTGTGGTTTAATTTTTCATTGATTATTGCAAAGTACACTTATAAAAATGGCGCAAGTCCGACTTTCGTTGTACTTTCGATTTTCGAAACCTTTTTTTATTCCTTTGTCCAACTACAATATTAAAAATAGAGATTTTCCTTAATGAAATCTGTTCTTGAAAATTAGGTTAAATGATATCATGTACAATTTTTTTCAAACTATCAGCATTTTTCGTTTGATTTTGCTTGACATATAGGAAACCTTTTTTTATTCCTTTGTCCAACTACAATATTAAAAATAGAGATTTTACTTAATGAAATCTGTTCTTGAAAATTAGGTTAAATGATATCATGTACAATTTTTTTCAAACTATTAACATTTTTCGTTTAATTTTGCTTGACATATAGGAAATTTTAAATCATTTTTTTCAAAAATTTCATTTGTTTCTTAATTTTTTTCCAGAAATGTGCACAGTGCTTTCATAAAAATGGTGCAGGATATTTTTGTTGTTGATCCCTATGAATTTACTAATTTTTTAATTGTTATAATTAATGCTAGAAAGTATGTGATGTTTTAGCACTACTATATACATTATATACATTTCAGATGCGAATTGAGTAATATTTGAGTAAGAACTTTTCCACCATTTGAGGAGAAAAAAAGTTAAATCCAATCATATAAAACAATGAGTGCTCCTAAAAACGTTTCTGTGTTTTTCTGGAAGTTGCTCTGTGGCCAGTTACGAACCGCCAGTTATCACTGGAGACAAAGTTATCACTGCAACCGAAGTTACTACTACCAATTATTAACGGCAGATAGGTTAGTGCACTTATTTAATTGGCCACTATAGTTCCTGAATTAATTGCATTGCTCTCTTCATGAGATTAACAACT